TTCTGAGCAATTCTTTGTTTTGATGGAATTATCAAAAGAAAACGTCGTCAATTAATACACTGAGAATTGATAATTGAATTCTGGGAAAATGACTAGCAAATTAAATGTGAAATTATTCGCAATCGCACCAATAAAGCAGCCGGAATGTTCGCTGTTCGAATCCACAACTCTTCCTTCATTAAGAAGTTGAAGAAAGGCAAATAACTATCGACCACAGTCGAACTACCCGTTTTGGCTCTTTGCGCTTGTGCTTGATCAAGTAACAATGCTGCAAATCATGCAGTTCACTTCAAATCTTACCGCCTCTAAGAAGACATTTCCTCTCGACATATATGTGACCATCATCAATTTACAAAGATCTATCAATTATCGAAATGATAAAATAGTTCCATTCTCTTACCCTGATACTAAAATAAGGTGCAAAAAATCGCACATCAATGGAAATACAAAAATTAACAACAACAACAACAAAGATAGAAACGTACCGGTGATTTGAAGCGAATACGGTATAAAATCAACCACATCATTCGCCAAAATATTCTCGATCAACGGTAAAATAAACTTATCAACTCCACCGTCTACGACCGTATAAACCTGAAGAAATCAAACAAATTTTCAAATCCAACTGAGTCACCAATAATGTAAACTATTAATTCAAAATGACAATATCTAAACTGCTCATAACGATCCTCCATTTGAAGTTAACAAGTTAACGAATTCGATCCACTCCTCCTTACATATTCATATCGATCTGTCATAGTCATAAATCTCTCAGTTTATCGCTTTCACTGCCTCTTTCGTAATTTACTGCTGACAACAAATAAGCCTGAGCACGAAGCGACAAAACAAACCTGTCGTATCAATATACAAAGAGATTCAAAAACGAAATGAATATGTAACGGATCCACTGGATTCTTCACTGCACTCGCGATCATTGTGGCCAGTTTGTTGACGATCTCACCGCAACTTTGCACTGTTCCCGACTAAACACTTTACAAATTCAAATCTCATATCAGCAAGCCATTTAGCACAATTCAATTCAAACGTCTGCTTATTTAATGTTGATTTAAGTTAATGAACTAAAGAAATGGAAAAAAAAATGAATGAGTGACCTAACTCTAAAAATAAACAAATAAGTGAATGAATCGATAAGGAAAAACANGAATTCTGTGAATTTGGCGTCGTGTCGAACGCATTGAACAGCGATGCTATCAACGGTCCAGCTTGCACGTTATCCCTCGATATCAGCACCTGAACATTCTCACGTTTACAGCAACAAGCACGAACAAAACGGATCAAATGAACAAATGAATATCTAAAAATACGACAACAATCGAATAAACAAACACCCAAACAAATCAACAAAAATTGATCCAACCAAACCACTACCTGATTCGTTTGCTTATTTTTCACAAGCATAATCCTCTCGAGTGCGTATGCCGCATAATAGTGCAAGATTGGATGCGATGAGGCCAATAGCTTCGGTATCACTGCGACTACTTCAACCAGTTGTTCGGGTTGAAGTTGATTTCGGAATGTCACAACGTATTTCAACGAATCAGCCTTCAGAATCGGCAAACTGTTCACATCTTCATCAAACAGATCCGTTCGTACGTGTGTCTGATAGCAATCCACTACATTAACCTCAAAACAAAATTCACCATTAATCTTCACAAATGAACTCAATTGCACATTAACAAATCATGTTAAATATCATTCTTTCATCATTATCTATCAAATCTATCCAGCCACTCAACGCTCAATGAAAGCTGGCAGAACACATTTTTTCTACTGCTGAAATCTTTGATTGAATTAATTAATTTAATTGAATTGAATTAATTGATATCCGATGAGCGATCCTTCTCCATCTCCAACATCGGGCGATTCATCGAACTAAACTCAAAATTAGAAACGATAATAGCATTTCTCACTGAACACAACAAACCCCTACGTTTTCTGCATACGCACTACATTTGTTCAAAATGCTTTGTTGTGCGTGCTTATTGAAGATATCGATGAGAAACAAACATACAAAACTACTCACCAAATCACTCGTGCTTGTTGCACCGAATCGAGACGTTTCAGCCTTTGTGGCCATTGCAGTCACTAGACAATAGATCACATCCTTCTTCAGCCAGTTCCCGGCTCTATCCTGAGTGTATTCAGCCAGAAATGCCGTTATCACAGCCGAAAGTATTCCGGTGACTTGCGCCTCGAAACGACGACACAACGCTCGCACAAAATCACTAGCGCCTCGACGTCGTGTATCAATATCTGAGCCTGTAGCAAAACAGTCCAAGTAGGCAAAACCACACGATCACACACTGTAACAATCCTCCACTCTGTTTGCAATCCTCCTTAACCGTATCTTCACCAGAGATCTCACAGATTTCACACAAAACAACACTCTCAAATGAACAATTCAATTCAAAATAAAAAATCAAGCAAACCCTCAATATCTCGTTTCATATACTCATGTGGTTCATCCTCAAACTGCTCAATGTCACATTTTCGCAACATTAAATTCTTTACGATAACGTCTTCGCAAATTGTCTTCAGCACTCCATCAGCTTCGAACATCGCCGAATATTGTGGTCGAGTGCAGATTGACGATAGGAAACCCAACGCTGCATTCACCAATGTATCAAACCTTCAAAAAGCTCCTTGTGTTTTACTAAACAAATTCGTTCAATTTACAATCAAAAATGACACGAAAATTGTTGACAAAAGTCGAAATCTTTTAACAAATCTAATAATATTCCCAATTTCGTGAAATCATCTTGAATGACTGGAAATCAAACATCGTTCTTCAAATGATACCTCAATCGATTATCGGTTTCAACAAGGAGTTGCCATATGATTTCGATCATTCCTTGCATGTAAGGCATTATTTCTTCTTCGTATCTCTGCAAAAATACATTAAAAAATTATCAATTGTCAATCAAAATTTCGAACGATCCAATGTTCAATTCCATTTCAATTTCAAAACTCAAATCGATTAAGGAGAATGCGATGTTACAATTCATCTTAAC